TTAGTATCATGTAGTTTATGTTTACCACTGTTTTGAAGTAAAAGTTTTCCAACCTCCTTGGTTGATTCGCCATATCTATCAACAATTTTTCAGAGCTAAGATTTTTTTGATGCCTTATTCATTCTAAACAGAACCCCCATCAGCATGGATGCAATGAGTGGAGGAACGTATCCTTACTAATATGATCAATTTAATGGTTTTCATTCGGGGATCTCTAGTCAATGAATGTTTCTGTCTCATAAAAATATACTTGTTCTAGTTGATACAATAGGATATTATGTTTTTCGTGTTTATGCTTAAACTCACTTCGAACTTGATTCCCTTCTAGATATTATGATTGTTAAATGGATATGTTAAACTCAAACTGTAGTTCGTCAATACAGATTTACAAAGCCATCAACTAACCTACCTTATTACCCAACTAACTATGGCTACTTCACCACTGCTCAACATTATCAGAGATATCACTAATAAATATTACAGATACTCACAAATAAACGACTTCATTTCATTGAACAGAGGAAAATAAATTGCAAGTTCTATTTAAATAAAAAGTCGTATTTCATTTTTGTTTTTATTTACCCTGTGTAAATTATATTCATTTAATGGTATACACAAAGCAATTTTCATCTGCTAACATGAGAAAATATTTCTAGAATGTGTATATGATTCGATTATGTTGATCACTAATATATGTTAACGGCTCCCATTGGAGCCATGTTACAAACGAATGTAAATCAGTCATAATAATGACAAAATTCTAAATTGATCAGAAGAAAAACTAACTGATAAACCATCTAAAAATGTTTCAAATTATAGTTCCAAGTTAAACAGTTAGCGTATAGTAATTGAAATAAACGTCAAATAATACCCTAATAAACACTTTTACAAGTGGTATAAGAAAATCCATTCAAATTGTTTAGTGAAATCATTAGTTAAGCTGATCAACCATATTGCACTTTAACTCTGAAGATCTTTAAGTTATTATTATCATTATTGAAAAAATGTAGTAGTTTATTGATGGGTGCTTTGTTTTTACTTATTGTTTTCCGATGAACTTGATAATGGACATGGAGGTAGGTGAGATGGGAAAGATATCGGGTGGACAGGAGATGTATATATAACATTACTTGGAATATTACAGTTGCTATCAAGGTGAGTAGTATCCAGTAATTTCGATTTGATAGGTTCAAATGTGATGCTTTATGATCATCATTTAATAATAAAGAGTCTGACTGTTGAATTTGTGAGTTAAGACGTATGATTAATTTGTATAATTCATCAATTGCATTTGCCTGCATTAGAATGTAATTTTTCGCTAATAACATGTAGCGATTTTTGACAGTTTTCTTACAGATGGACTGTGTGCATACGGGATAACACTGCGTAAATCATCTAATGCATCATTTAAATCATGCATTCGTCGTCTTTCTCTAGCATTTATACTTAAACGAGCATTTCGTTGATGATGATGCTGAACGTGATGTTTAGTTACATTTCTTGAATGGGCATTTGAAAAATGATGACGGTTTAAATATGTTAATGAATGAGATGTTGTTGTTATTAATGATGAGGGAGATGAAGATGATAACGGCGTTGTTAATTTCCATAGTAGATCATTTTTCTTTCTATCATAAGAGGTTTCGCATTTAATACTTGGGAATAAGATAAGGTCATCACTATTTTTTTGTGATTGAGTGGGATCATGTGAAGTAGTAGTAATAGTGGTGAATAAACAACTATCATCAATATCGTATATTTCATCCATTTATGGTAATTATAAATGGAATTAATCTGTAACAGTTTGAAACTTCCTCACATCGTTCTCACCGTATATTGGTCAGGTCTGTTGACCAATCAGAAAAGGACTATGACAAGATATCAACCAATCACATCTATTCGATAGTTTAGACAAGGTAAACTAGTCGTTACAAGGCTGGTTAATTATATTTCTACTAAATTACTGTATTCTCCACAAAACCTCTTTCTGATATTTCTATTATACAGAAAAAAAATTATTTAGGGAGTAGACTAGAATATTCAGAAGTTCAATGAAATCTTTGGTAATGGAAACGCAAGTATCAGTGTCTCTAAAAGATCATGAAAAGAACATTCATATTTTCAGTACTGTTAATGTTTATATTACCAGTAAATCCTCGTCGTTATAGACTAACTTTGATCTGAATAGAATGTTGACCGATTAATAAATTAATGACTACGTAAGCGAATTCTACCAGTTTTAAACAAATAATTTCGAAATAGTTTGGTACTGGGTATGGTGAGTGGTAAAAATAAAACTTTTTACGAAAACCATAACTGAAATCAAACTATCCAGATGTTACTTTACACAGTTTGGTTCGACCTTCTTCAGGAAGATAATCCAAAATATAAAATATAAGTAAGGTCGAAAAACAACTATGAGTTAAGCGACTGTCTAATCATGTTAGAATTTTGAATATGGTTCGATGTAGCAACGAATTAGTGTAAAGAACTGACATTCGCTTGTAAAATTAGAAATATTGATTCGTTACGCTGCAGTGAGTGTTAAACTGGAAACAAGAGAAATTCGACCATAATAAGGAAGGTTATCCTGGGATTTGAGTTGCATTACAATCGCTGCCGAAAGAATAATCTTTAAGAGTCCTATATTCGGCACCTTAACAGACACTGTGAACAAACCAGGAATATACAAATGGTTTGAAATAACTCATTTCATCCCACTTAATCTGTTGCATGGTGAATAAAGCTTCAGATGATGGAGATGTGAAGCTCTCTTCTGATATCGCTTAAACAGGCAATGACAATTTTCTGATTAGAACGTTTAGCTCAGTTAATTCAACACCACCACGAGTATTCAATAACACATATATTGCATGCAACTGAAGCTATCCAGTGAATCCGATTGACTCTGAACTCAAAACCCCTTTAGAGAGATTTTCAATGCCCAACATTCAACTGAACTTCTTTATTTACTGAATGAAAACATGTGACAAGAAAATCATTGTTTCCGCTTGTACTCAAGGTACACAATCTTGGTTATGATCCATAAACAAACCAGCCAGAAAAATATCTTAAACGTCTACCACCCAGATTTAATATGACCATGACGTAGTACGTTATTATCTAAAACGAAATGGTGCTCCATTTATGGGCATGACTGTTTCGCATTAATTTTGTTTTTTATTGTAAAAAAATGTTCGGTTTGTACATATTTCATTGTTAGTTTTTCCAACTTGGCTTTAGTATATATATATATAATATATATATATATATATATATATATATATATATATATATATATATATATATATATATATATATATATATATATATATATATAGTGAGTTTTAGATGGTGGTTGGAGGTAGTCAACAGGAAACCCTGGACCCGGGTTTCGTGCTACTTGGCACATGTCAGCAAGGTGTACCTGTAATCTTGAGGGAACTGGTGCTCCCTGACGGATTCGATCTCGTGTCACCCAGCTTCACAGTCAGAGACGTTACCAGTGAGCTATCCGAGCCGTGACTAACCTCCTGTAGGACTGAGATGTAATCACAATTGATTGATCACTGGGTGGTGATCAATGTCATGCTTGTCTAGTCCTTATTAGTGCAGATCGAATGCTATCGATCATGTTGCAATGTGTAATCACAATTGATTGATCACTGCAACTGATCATTGCAACATGATCGATAGCATTCGATCTGCACTAATAAGGACTAGACAAGCATGACATTGATCACCACCCAGTGATCAATCAATTGTGATATATAGTGAGTATTAACATTCACTATTAATATGCTAATTTTTCAGTGAATACATTTGGAACTTCTTAATTATGTCAAAAAGGAACGAGTACTATCAACCATTTAGAGATCTAAAGTTCACATATTTCTGGGCATGTTATGCATAATAAAATAAATCAGTCTTACATTTTCGTTTAAGGTGATTTTCGTTCAAATGACTTCCATTATATTATATAATTCAATGTGATTTTTTATTCAAGCAATAATCGTTAGGTTTTACAAAATCTTTAACTAATAATCGGTATACCATTAATAGAGTTCGAATAGGAATTACCCTAATTCTTATTGGGTTCTCATCAATAAAGTTTTTAGATTTATTGCATTTTTGTCTCAAATAAGCAAATAGAGAAGAAAGAGGATAGAAATCAGTCTTGTTCATCGCCATTTGAAGTTAGAACAACGAACTACTGGCTCAGTGTATGATTGTATCACATACAGAAATATTTGTTTATAAATGAAGAACTGATGCTACCGTCCCAGTTTTACCAAATTTTTATTTCACATTTATTAATTTTTGTAGTTTCTTCGACATAACAACACCGTAAAATAACCACATTCAAAAGTATAATCAAGATTTAATATAACAAGAATAAGAAAAAGAGAATTCAGGGAAGAAACTTTTCTTTTCGACGAAATCATTTACTTAATTTGTACATTCGTGTATATAGTTATATGGAAAAATATATCAGAAGGGGTTTTGTGGAGATTTTAGTAATTTCAATAGTTGAAATCATGAGTCAATTGAAGCTAGACAACCATGGAAAACCTGGAAGCACTGAACGGCCGTTTTGTCATAGCATGGGACTCCTCAGTAGTGTACACCTACGATCCCGCTGCCCCCGAGATTCGAACCCAGGACCAATCAAACTCGCGCGCGAGCGCTTAACCATTAGACCACCAAGCCGGCATCCAACGATGTTAATGTCAAACTTCAACCAATCCACGAAGTTGCGCCACCGTACACTATTGTCTTGATGGTGGTTTAGCTTCAACTGACTCGTGAATTCAACTATTGAAATTACTAAAATGTCTACAAAACCCCTTCTGATATATTTTTCCATATAACTATATATACGAATGTACAACTTAAGTAAATGATTTCGTCGAAAAGAAAAGTTCTTTCCCTGAATTCTCTTTTTCTTATTTAATAACAAGAATATTATAGGAATGATTTGCTTCATTAAGGTATAAAAACTTTTTTTTCTCTCGTTAAACTAAGTCATACACATTATTCATTCTAATTGAAGTTTTATTAATTAGTTTATATATTCAGTGATAAAGAAATATGATTTACTGACTTATATTAACAAATAAGATGACCAGTTTGCAGATTAAACTCTGGTTACATTTGAAATAGACAAGGCAAAATAAATAGCTTGATTTATTTTTGGTAAAAAAATACTACTAACTAGCAAAATTAAAATTTTATTCAGTAGTTCAATTATAGATCCGAGTATACAATATGAAAATTATTAAAATTAAACTTAGTTTTAACAAAGATCATTAAGATTTCTATTTGAATATATAAGAAAAATATATAATAAAATTGTATAGAGATGTATGAAAAACAGATCAAGTTTAAGTATTTAGCTAATTTTTGATGTATTGAATCCAGTTAATAAACCGCTATCCGGGCTAGGCTTTAAAATAATCTTTTGAACATCACGAAATTGAGGATGATCAGAACCACAGAGTATAGTTAATAAAGCTGATTCACATGTAGTCAAATAGACACCTGATTGACTCATTCGTTGAAATCCAAACATTCTACAATACATGTATACAAAGTATGAGAAAGTAAAATAGATTTCCAGTGAATTTCATTTTGTTTTATCATAATATTTAAGAAACAAGACAAAATATAGTTGAAATATTAGGCTAAATATTGGAATACAGCAGTGTAACATTTTGCGGTTCGTTGAGACTACTAATGATGTGAACGCTTTCTAAATGAGTTCTCAAATCAGCTACTTGAGTAAGTAGAAAGATTTCTATTGACCAATTAATTGGAAGTACATGCACGAACTAATTCATAAACATAAATACATATCCTTCAGAAAACTAAGCGATAATTTTTCAACTATTAGCGTATTCCTACTACATTAGAAAGTCAACCCTAATCTTGACCAATAGTGTGAGTTTGTCAGCACCTTTCATTGACTATTTAGCTTCTATCTGACTGGCCCAGTGTATTAATCAGGCAATATAATCTCATGAGTTTATATTCAAAAATTTAGGCTAGTATGATGGAATGAGAAGTATATTGAGCACGGTGTGAGACAACTTAGTGGTTGGAGAACACAACTTCTAGCCACTTAAATGCAAGATAAGGGTGCATAAAGATTAAACGATGCTACAAAAATAAAAGTAACTGATTAAGTCTTTAAATTATGGTTTAAACTAATCCCATGACATTCTGATGATTTAATAACATTTTAGATTTTAATAGTCATCAAAAACACTATCAGTGATTTAGCTCAAAATAATTCAAAGTTCTTATTAAGAGATTCTTGCCTTAACTACACCAATACCGGAGATGAAATTGTGTCTAAATAAGACAATTGTTACCAATATAAATCAAAAGAAAAAAGTCAATCAAATCATCAGTGAAACGATAGTAACTCATTAATGACTGAATGAGGCTATCCTCCCTTAAATATTTACTGAACTCCGAATTATTGCCTAAAGCTAGAGTAGTCAAATCGAGAACTCAAAATATTGATTTTCACTCTATATTACTGAATAGAACGAGACAACCGTCTCATAATTCCTTATTTTTAATAGTTATCCAGCTGATATCAAACTGAAATAGTCTAACGACAGAAGCACGGACTTTTCAACGAATCAATGGTTTCAGCTATCATAGAAATTGATTTTAAATGATATTTTAAAACTCCTAGGCTCTATGACTAAAAAGAGGTTTCATTAGTGGTCTTTTTTAAATTGTTGGTTCTTATAAAATTGCATTATCTATTCAGCTTTAGATGGTTTATTACATAAACTTAATTACGGTCGAATGTATAAGATAATTATCTGTTACATAAGTGTAAAACATCTTGTACATTAATATGATATAAACAGATTAGTTACCTATCAACCATATTTCGTGAAGATACAGCATCTACAATACAATGAACTTGTATTCCCCGTTCAATTAAATCTAGTGCAGTTGACTGAACACAAACATGTGTCTCAATACCACATAATAAAACAGAATTGATTTGTTTTCCCAGCTCCAAAACATTGGCTACTTCATCTGTTAGCATAGAAAATGATCTCTTTGAAATGATGGGAATACCACTTAAATCTCCTAACTCTTTGACGGTAGGACCTAAACCTGAATAACGAAAGGGTTTCCAAAGTATTTTAATAGTAAACTTCATAAAGGATGTGCTGAACAGCACTATCGTTGGAAAAACATAAGTTTAGCTATTATTTTCAATATAATATTTTACTACCTACTTTTCAAGATCATGTAAACAGTTATCATTACCTATATGTAGACTTTTATAGAACAATAGAAGTTCTGTTGTAAAAACCAGTCTTATTTTCTCACTTAAAAGTCCAATGATTTGTCGTTGTATAAGTTTACGCGGTCAATAATAATCGCATTATATACGTCTACTGATTAGTGTTATCACTAGATCTTTACATTCCAGTGCAAAGCATAACAAGTATATTGCCCAAAGTAATTGTAACCTTAGAAAACCCAAACAGGTTAGATTAAGTAGACAATATATTGTGTCTAACTCTTCGTCCGAAGCATGTGACGAATGTATAAGATTTCTGACTGAACAAGAGAAAGAACTAATTTAAACAGCACAATTACTAAACGTCTGGACTTTTACTACTATCAACGTTGTGAAATTTTCTTCCACATGATATATATATATATATATATATATATATATATATATATATATATATATATATATATATACTTACAATAGTTTGTTTAGTCTGTAAAATTTGTTTACACCCTTGGTATAGAATACTGATGTGTGATCTAAATCAACAACATAATGTAAACCCATTCCGCAAGTAGTTGTAAATATCACAGGTTGTAATCAGCTGAGAACCAAACGAAATAAAAGGATTTCGTGCTATTGAGCTCAAATTTTTGTTCTTGCCCTCTTTAATATGATAAAGGGAAGTACGTTTATGGAAAAAAACCCGTTATTATATGAACTATATACTATAAGCGCTATTTTTGTCATCAGTTTTGGTTTGGTTTATTCTTCCTTATCTCGCTTGTAGAATTTGACAACTTGAAATTCTACACTAATATTGGCTTTGTCTGTTGGGTGACATTTTCTACTTAGATTTTTAAATGGTTTATTTATGTAAAACTTCCTCACATGTTTGGTTTCAATTTGTTTGTGAACGTTTGAAACAATCATCGTCGCTGAACTACCTAGTAATTCCGAATGTTTCTACCATGTCAAATAAAAAGGCGTAAGCTTTATCAGTCATTGAGGGGAATTAGTTTAGATGCAGCGATAATATAATCATTGTATTCCCATTTTAAATGCTTTTTATCAACATATGTAATACATTTTTAATAGAGTTCAGGTTATGCAAGTTCCGAAGAACAATGATAAATGACAATTAATTTTACGAGACGCAACTGTTATCTTGAATTATAACACCACTAAGACAGATTTTCAATTTACCACTTCACTGAAACACCCATAAAAATGTCACCAGGTTTATTATTTATATATTTATTTATTTGAACACAAATATTGGTACGAAGGGGCACAAAATACATATACGCCACACAAGTCTCTTGACTGGTGTGTGGGCTATGATGCTGCCCGGGTGCCCAAACCGAAGCAGGTGATTTTCTTAGGGAGCCACACCGGAGCCTTTGACCTAGAGGTCTGATTCATAGGGTAGTAGAGCAATGTCAGGAGGTACTTTCCCATGGTAGCCGGTGACCAACGATTGATTCATACGCCATTTATTCCTTCAGGATACTGGAGCCCATTTGCCCCATTGGTTTGGAATCAGGGTTTTCAACTCCCCTAGGTGGATCCTCCGTGTTCACCACCCCAGTTAAGGCACCGGACATTGGCTTTTCGTTCTCTCAATTTCGTAAACAACACCCGCTCTGCGAGTAGGACTTTCCTGACAGTGGCTGTATACGCGTGGCCATGTAAGAGCATTTCGAGAGGGAGAGCTGACTCTCCCCATCCTCGACCGTACCAGAGCATTTGGGGGCACCAGGGTTACACAAGAAGACTATTTTGTAAATATACGAAGATTATGTCGATCATTGTTCTAACAGAGGATAATTCCCAGAATATGGCCAAAAACACAAATCTATATGGTTTCGTGCTAGCTTAAACCAATAGACATCCCAATACAGAACAAAGAAATACCTCAAATACGAATAAATCGAGGTGTTACAGTTAACGCTTTTTATACAAAATATCTTACAAGAATATAAACCACACTTTAAAAACATGCTAGAATACTATTCTTCCCAAAACACACCTTTAGGGTACATTTCAGTGACTACAATGCGCATTCCTAGCATTCGAGCAGCTGTTAACATCCGACTAGACGTTTCGACAATTGCATCAAAATGACTAATAGTTGGACGAAATTTTTCCTGTATATCACATAACAATAAAGCAGTACGTGGTAGTAACAGTTTGCCAACTCGTGAAATGCCAGACATAATACTGCAACAGAAATAGTATACAACACAACTTTTATGTTATATCGACAAAAGGTAATCAAACAAACACGTCTAACGATCAACAAAGAGAGTATATACGTTTATTAAAATTAGTGGCGAACACGTCATTTGAAGCGGTGGAAATAAGAAAATCGCTGCTAATGTCACAGGTGTGAACTATTTAGAAGTCAAACGCAATGTAGATCCTAGCACATGAGATTAGGTTGACATACCACACTAGTACAGCGAGATGAAATTGTCAGGGCGAATCCCAGAGTCACAGAGGTAGCAACAAAATCGATAAAAACAGAAAAAATAGGCACCTAAATACAAGTTGAGAAAATATAAGTTAGTGAAATCATAGACACTTAGGATCTAATTGAAGACAAAGAGTGAACGCACCTGCACCATTGCAAACAATTTTGAGCAGTGCCGTCCAAAGTTTCTGACCATTGGTTAGTGCTTTATGATTCACAATGATTATCAAGTTACAGTTGGTCTGAAATGCAAACTCTTTGAATACTGATTAAACAACCACCAAAGGCTTCCTCTCAACCATATAAGTGAACACACGTCGGGGGACCGAAACACAGATTTGTTCGCGAAAGGTAGTTAACGTTTAGCTACAGACTTGTAAGTTCTAACCTTGATTAATTTATTTTGGTTTAATTTTGCTCAAATAGAAGAATCTATTATGACTACTATTGAATGGGTATTTCGTCGATCCGATGTAATCTACATGTTCAGACCAAAAATTAAATCGAGAACAGTCGTTGTGAGCGAAAAAGCCCTTTACATAAGAGGATATACCCAGAATTGTCTTAAGGTTCCGACTAAATTGAACTACTTTGAGGATAAACGATGCTAGTCAGTAATGATTGATTCAGAGGAGCTATTTAGTATGGTCCATGTGTTACAGAATGTGCAATCAGGAAAGAGGTGAAAAAATTTATAAATATGACTATCATTTATCACCTGATAAATAAACGTAAGAGGAGCTTCTCAAGTTTTATGTAGTGTCTTAAGTACGTTTCCAAAAGGGACAGGACTACGTCTCTACATAGTTGAGACCACTAAGTCGAAGAAACCTGGTAAACAAAGAACATTAGGCTTCTTGATCTACACTGCATTACAATAGGCTAATCGCATTTTTGATCAGAATGGTTAATTTTAGTGAGCCAGATAAATGCAACGTAGATTGGTTAATTTAACTACATATTATAAGCTCCTAACTAAAAATGCACTATTTTCCGTTTTTAAAATTGCAGATCTTAACTTGAGGAATTCGCAACACCAATGCAGCTACAACATTTATGTATGTCATACCGATTACAATATTAAATTAACGAATCTATACTGGTGTTCGGGGGTAAAGTTGGAGAAAATGAGAATCTACTTAAGGATTCATGATTTTTTAATATCTTACCGAGATCTGTAAATTATTTAAATTTAAACAGTCTAGCTTCTCTTAATTTACTAACTAGTAGCTGGCCATACAAAACGTAATAATGAATAGCTATTTTAGTCATGACGCTGTGACTAACTTTGGTGAATATGATTTGCTACAACTGTATGCTACGGATTTGTTGCATGAACCAAGCCTATAAAGTTCGTTTGATGGTGGGAAATACTTCTGATCAAAACTAGCAACTGAAATGTCCATCCCTTAATCTGATGCGTCATTATTCATGAACAATACTGGTGGAGGCATTACCAGTTTTCATTCGTATTTGACAGGAGTGACTCATGAATTTACAAAACTTCACATTAAAGGTAGCAAGATTTACTGTATGACAGGTATCCTACACACACACACACACACCGAAAATCACTAGTTAGTTAGCGAAACAGATCAGTTATAAAAATGAGGTCACATATACGAATTCACTCTACTAACTGAAGTTTGGATAGCCAGGCTGTGTCACTACTAGTCGTTATGAAAGGTGTACAAGGTTGATGGGCTAAAACTAACAATACAATTAGAGCGTTCACAAGACGGCTTAGAAAAGACCAAATGACTTTAGTTACACCTTCTAGGTCAACCAAAGGACGCGTTTACTGTGCAGCAGTTCGTTCCGTCCTACTTTGTGGCAGTGAAACATGGCTGGTAAGAGTAGAGGATATTCGTAGGTTACTAGTATTTGATCATAGGTGTCTTCGAAGCATTGCTCGTATATCCTGGGACCACCGAGTAAGTAACTCAGTTGTTAGGAAACGGGTACTAGGTAAGGATGGCAAATCAATTGATGGCGTAGTGAAACTTCATCAATTGAGATGGCTTGGACACGTGTTACGTATGCCCAACGACCGAATGCCTCGACGTGCTATGCTCAGTGGTATAGGAGTAGGTTGGAAGAAAGCTAGGGTCGGCCAGACCAAAACATGGCACAAGTCCATGAAGTCACTGACAAGTGGACTGAGTCATGTTGGTAGGTGTAGACTACCTGGTTGGGGACCGCGAGATGATAGCCACCGATGGTTAGAGACCCTGAATGACATGGCTCAAAATCGTTTGCAATGGCGCTGGTGCATCCACTCTTTGTGTTATCCCAAATTTTAATCTCCTGACTCCTCCTTGTCTCTTTTTCGCTCCCAAATTTATTTCACTGTATTACACTTTAAATAACATCTCCAAACCCTAATCTTCCCGATTACTGCTTATACTCTTACTACCTCTACCACTATGGGATTTGAATCGACAACTGCATCTCTGTGCTAATGTGGTATGGCAAGTCGAACTGGTGTACGTGTGTACGAAGTTCTACGTTGTTACTGACTGACAGCTTCTAGGAGTAAACAGTATCCAAGATTTCAATGCGCTCTATTGTCTTTGTACACCAACTGATCGTAAGAGTACCCCTTTGAGTTGAATAGCTTAGTTGTTAGTGTCAAGCAATATGTTCTAGTTCTTAGCGCAGATGGATATGCTGAATAACCAAAATTTTATTTATTTATTTGAACACATAGATATTAGTACAAGGGGGCACCAAATACATATGCGCCACACAAATCTCATTCGATATGTGTGAGTGCTGTGATACTCCACGGGTGCCCAAACCGAAGCAGGTGGTTCTCCTAGGGGGCCACTCCCCGAGCCTTCGACCTGAAGGTCTGATCCACAAGGCAGTGGAACATCGTAAGGAGATACAGTCCCATGGAAGCCGGTGACCAACAATTGGTTCATACGCCATTTGCTCCCGCAGGATACTGGAGCCCATGTGCACCATTGATTTTGTTTGGGTTGCGGTTAAAGCGCCGGACATTCGGTTTTCGTCCTCTCATTTTCGTAAACAACAGTAATGCCACGAGAAGGCAGTGAGTAGGACTTCCCTGGCAGAGGCTATATACGCGTGGCCACGTGAGAGCATTTCGAGAGGGAGAGCGGACTCTCCCCACTCTCGGTCGTACCAGGGCATTTGGGGCGAATAACCAAAAACAAAGAATACGACTATACAACTCTTGGACATATGTTTCATATGCGTTTCTTGGGTAGCAACAATACCCAAAGGTTGAGAAGACCAAAAACGACTCGATATAATTTGAAAACAACCTTGCATGTCAAGGAGATATGCATTTGTTGGTTCAAGATATGTGAAGAACACAATGTTGACATGACAAATTCATGATATTGAATCACTAAATAAACAGTTTTAAGTAACTGGTATCCTTTATCAAATGTGGAATGGATCAAAATCGATTACAATGGAGAAGACGTACTCTTTATTATCTTGTCTTATAACTCTTTAGTCGTTTGTTAATCGTCTATTCGTACTTTACTTATTTGTTTTTTCCTCCGTCTACATATATTTCTCCTCCCCTCGACCACTTTGTAATACTGAAACTCAAAGCAACATACATGTCTTAGAGATTTTACATAGTCATACATTATTTTAAGAAAGAAAATACGCACTTTACTCATGGGTTTTTACCACAGATTATTAACTTCGCTTATGCCTAGATGAACGATTTCGCTAACAATGGTATATTTATTAGATCTTGCACACTTTAGGAAAGTAACCAAATAGAGGTTAGATTTCCTTTGTATCTTCAATCATTAATTTTTGTGGTCTCGCAAACCTTAGTAAGATATCGTCAAATTCAATACAACTTAAATCCAAAACAACTCCGTAAATCATTGTAATATCATAATACATGTTCAGGGACTTGAATAATTTAGTACTTGAAATCTGTTATATTTCAAGTCAAGCTAAGACAACTAAGAATGAAAACTTGTCTTGACACTAGGGCCAATAAGAATACGTTTTGTATGCATGCACTAGCCTTTCTGTAAACATACTCATATAAAAATATTTGTCTACCATTTCAAACAGTCTATTGTTACAAAAGCAAACAAACATATATGCACAGGATTAAGTACAACTGAAAAATAGAGAAGTTTCAGAAAAGTATAATTGGACATTATGAAATCAAATCACAACCTCATCAATGAATCATAGTCTAAATATGATTACTATTTATTAATTACATTCAATCTTAAGGAAATTAATTGGTACCAGGCCGCCAACTTGATCACGTTCTCGCCAGACCTCACAGAATCCATCAGGAAGTAGTTTCCTGATTTGAACTTCATCATCGCACTGCAAGGTATAATGTGAATAGTAATTGCAAATAAACTTTATCATTAAATATACTGACATGTACGAAATAGTTTTAACTTTAAAATGTTGTACGCAACTACCTGGAAAAACGTACAAACTAGGGGGTGCAACCCCACATTCTTCAAGAAAGATTCAAAGATTAGCATAACATTTGTAACTGCAGCTGAGGAATGTAACAAAAAAGTACGCGGTACAAGTTAAATATAGTTTATCAATTGCGGCACGCAGGAAAGCTAATGAGGTTATGGATTAGGAATTTACAGGTTGGTGAACCTGGCCTGTAGTTGCTAAAACAAATAAACAGAGTATGGCCAATACATGATATGTAGTGGTACAATGTGGACGAGTGATGACTGCCCATGAGACCGGATTACTGACATACGACTGTGAATAATTACAAATTAAAAGGAAGAACATTAGTTAGAGGAATAGGGCTTTTTGCCAAATAAAACTACAGGCTTGTATACAAAGCATTCACGAAAATAACGTAATTTGATGTCATGAACGATCAGACAAAACCAATTTTTTAGGTCTCTCATTCACCAGTGAAGTAGAGCCAAACTGGTAGGCTTCACCATTATATCGGATTTAACAAGGATAGTTTAAAAGTAAGTTACTTGTAATTTCTGCTAGCACAAGCGAAAGGAATTTTTTAATGAGAAATCACCTAAACTAACACCAGGAAAATCCTGATCAATTTGATTACAGTTTTGTTACATATATATTAAAGACCTACAGTACGTCATGTTTCTCAGGCTTTCTGCAGATGTTAGCTACGTAGGGTCTGGGACAAATTTACACAGATCTAAATTGTTACGCTTTACATAAGCACATAAGGAGAAAATTAACAGATGAAGTGGATGAGTTGGGCGGAATTAGTAATAAAATAAATGGCATATAAGCCGAGAACAAAAGTTGGATTTCCTAGAAAAACAACAGAGACGTCATGGAAAGGAAATGAACTATGGTTGTGAGGAATATAAATTGGGATTTAAACCAAATTTGACCGACACCACTCAGGTTCTATAACCATAGATTAAGATTACCTTGGGAACTTTAACTTGCAAGTCTGGAACTGCTTGCACGATTTAGTATAATGGCCAATGGTTTCATGGACTGATGCTACATTTTGGTCAAGTTACAATCATTTCCAACCTATTTCTACTTCACAGTAGGTGATGCGTGAGATATACTACATACCCTCAGGCACCTTGGCCAATAAAGACTGAAGACTGTATTGGCTATTTGATTTTGCTACACATAAAAAATAATTTGAAGAATCATACAAAGGAATACCAGCAACTTAAATTCATTCCCAACCGCAGACTGAAAAACAACTCTTTGGATTACTGTATTATTTAATCTACAGCATGTAATATCGTAAAGTGATTTAAATATAACGTTTGGAACATCTAAAAAACGAACTAACCTCAGTTTCAAGTGATTTGTCGCGAAGATACTGGGATTTCTAGCCCTTACAACCTTTCCAGTAGCCGGTAACTGAACAGATTTCAGCATATGACAATAGGTTAATCCAAGTTGGTCACCAAGACCCTTTAATCTTGCAACAATTTCAGGTGTAAACTAGGAAAAAAGGGGTGTCATGGATACGTAAGTAAATAATATGAAGGATATTGTGATGGTAATAAAATTTATGGATGACTTTGAACGATGCTAGTAATATTGAGACAACTCATCTACTTACCAGGGTCAAAAGAGGACTACAAATTAATATGGGCAATTAGGACTACGATTTACGGTTAGAAATCAAAGTAAGGGTTTTCATCACGAACTGACATCAGCTATAATCAAAAATGCCATTTAATTATATGTAATTTAATTATATATAATCTTGAGCTAAAATCCAAGACTTCATATCCTTATTTTCACTGGTTTGTCCATAAATTATGGAATTGCCGATATTGTTGACAGTTTTAATCCAGTATATTTTTTAAAACAAACCGAGTCTGTAAGTTAACGTAACCGAGACGTTATAGCAGATGTTATATCTAGTTGCGGCACAGTAGACCAAAAACGATTCAGGGTTGAGCGATAAGACTGGTTCTCACAAGCGGAAAGCTGGCTTGGTGATCAAAGGGCGGCCTGCTTGAGCATCTGGGCCACCTGTTCCTGCAATCTAGACATTTCAACAAGTTATCTATTTTTGCTTGTTTTAATATATCGTTATGTTTATTAATCGCATGACCTATTCTGCTGCGTTTCTGAAAGGTGTACAACCTTTTGTTGTCAAAGTTACAAAAAACTCAATAAGAGACAATGTGGTTGCTGGCAACATACAACGAAAAGAATGCACATTATTTAGATGTTCATTTACTGCACTGCTAACATCTAACTGGCGATCACTCAATATTTATCGCCAGGACCGACCAAGAAGAAAGAAACGGAAACTTGTTGAAATGCTTTACGCTGAGAATTCTATATTGTACCAAAAATATAATATTGAATAAAGCTAATAATAATAATAATAAGTACCTAAATCCCAACAACTTGATTGAGTTATACTCTATTTACCCCAGGTACGACAGTCGAGCATTCATGCAGTCCTTTAGACGAAAAATTAGATCAAAACTAGATACATGAACATTTATTTAGGTTATAGGACTTGCTGAGTTAAGTTGTAACGCGATAGGAAATTGTAAAACAGTGGTCAGTATAACACTGAGATTTGAGGTGAGGTATCATCATGACATTCAAGCTATTTCCGAATTATAGATTGCGTGCAGCAAAAACACGGGAAAATTTTTTCATTAATCCAAAGAAACAACATTACTCACCGGAGTTAAATAATTTGAAGGAACCCAACCGATACGGTTATCGCCTGATTTACATAGAATCCACTCCCGCTTTTGTCTTATGAATGTTAACAAATCTCCCCTCTGAAAAGACAAATCTCCCTCTTCCTATAAAATAACGGGAAGAGAGAAGTAATAACCTGTGCTTGAAACGAATATAAAGCAGCAAAAGTAGCCTTCTGGGCTGGCTGTCTCATACGAGTACTCGAAGAGTGTGAAGTATGAAGTCTAACCAACTCATCGAGCGAAGAATAGAGAGTGTCGCCAAACTTGAACTTTTTTAGTTGAGGTGCCCATGTAAGTAAGTAACGCTTGACTTCGTTGGCCTCTCTGATTATTAGCACGTAAAAATAGACATACTTTATGGCAAGCACGTAACCTGACTTTGTAGTGCTGTCACGTATCAAGAATGTTCCAACAGGCTGATCAATTAGAATCTCATTAGCTTTTTCTCTGCTTATTTCACCAAAATACCACCTACAATATCGAAACAAATCATATAAACTAACGGAGCATCTGGAACTAGTTCGACCGCCATTTATTTCAAGGTCAGCCTTCCGTAATAAGGATAGGAGGTCTATCGACCTATATTAATCCTTGCAGTTCGTAATACTGTGGAGGTCCAATCTCGTTATGAATATGTCAACGGAAATTGCTGATATTACGTGTTCCGGTAGAGAATTCCAGTAATTCACTACTCGATGCGAGAAACGAAAATGCAGACGAAAACGGTTTGATCTCGGTTTTTGAACTTTCTTCGAATGTCCTCTCAAATGATCAGTCCTAAACGGAAGTAAAAAATAAGACATGTTAATACCAAGGTCATCGTTCATTATACGATAGGCCAATATTAGATCACCCCGTGCTCTACGGTAAGATAACAGAAATAAGTTAAGGTGTCTCAGTCTATCTTCATAAGATAGGTCAGATAGACCTTGTACCATCTTATTAGCTTGTCGTTGGACTCTTTCCAGAATCTCTGCTTCATACATGAAACGAGCACTAGCTGCTTGAATCCCATATTCTAAATGTGGTCGCACATAATTCGGGTATAATAATCTAAACATTTATTCATCTAAATACTGGAAAGACCTACGAATAGACCATAATACCCTATAGCCTCTCGCAGCAGCAGCCTTACAGTGACTAAAGATTTTGAGATCACTGCTTAATATGACTCCCAAATCTTTATAGTTTCTTACTTTGGGTAGCACGAATCCACCTATTGTGTAGTGATACGATTCATCATAGTTATTCATTTGCATCACTACACTCTTATTGGGATTTGCTTTTAGTGACCACCTGTCCAACCATGCCACCAACGAGTTAAGGTCATTCTGTAATACTATTCTATCCGACATACTGTGTACGGGTCTTCAAATCTTTATGTCATCAGCGAAGAGTAGGACGGTTGATTTCGCTATATTTGGTAATTCATTTACACAAAGTAAAAAGAGAAGAGGGCCGAGAATAGTGCCTTGGGAAACTCCACTTTTTACAATTACCCACAAGGGAGGGCCCCATTTACCCTTACCCTTTGTCTCCTGTCATGCAGAAAGTTACTTATCCAATCTACGACTGTATAATGGATTACAAAACGTTTCAGTTTGAATTCAAGACCACAGTGGGAGACTTTATCGAAGATCTATGAAGATCACATCCACAGGAATATTCTGATCTTTTGCAGCAGCCCAATGAGAAGATTTGTCAAGCATGATAGGCCTCCAAAAACCATGTTGTTCCCTGGAGAAAAGATTATGCTTTTTCAACATAGTTTATAACAGATATCCGAGTGATTTTTTTCATCAGTTTTACAAATGCACTAGTTAAGCTAACTGGTCTATAGTTACCAACTGAATCCCTACTCCCAGCCTTATACACCGGACTTATTATGGAAGTCTGGACTGTCTCAAAGACATGTCGGATAGTATCGCTAATGGATCAGCAATTTCACCTGATATGGCTTTCATAATCCTAGGATGAATATTATCAGGACCACTGGACTTATCAGGTCTGAGACACTGAAGTAGCCTTAAAACAGTACCTTTCTCAATGACTACAGGGTCCATCTGCGAGCCGCCGCGATCACAGTGAATCCTTAGTCGTTCCTCATTACCGATAGAAAACACTTTACTAAAGTATTCCGAAAACGCTTCAGCTTTTTCGGATTCATTTTCAGCCAAGATCAACGGATTTTCTTGTATCAAAAGTGGTGGAATTCCATCGCTTCTCTGAGTTTGTGTTTTTATGTACGAGAGTAACTGTTTTGGACTATATTTACAATCCCTAACCAATTGTTTTTCATATGACCGTCTAGTCTTGCTTACTAACGCTTTACAGGCATTCCTAATCTTAAAATAACTGGATATTTATTTTTCTAAGCCAGTAGAGATGAACATATTTCAGTGCTTCTTCCTTTTTCTAAGAAGTTTCCTGACTGTTTTCGTTATCCATGGTGGACCGTTATTTGGTCTTCGCGGTACCAGGTATGGTATGAACGGGGACGTAACTAAACTAAACTTACCTTTAAATACAGACCATGCTTCTTCAACTGATAAGTTAATATCTACAAACCAATCTGTCTTAGCAGTGTATTCCTGAATGGCTGATATGTGAGCTTGTGGAATTATGGTCTGCTATGATATTAGTACTGCTCTAATAACAGACCTAATCCTAAATTTGTAGATTTGTCATGATATAACTCCCTAATCTATAAGATCTTACGTGGAAGTCACACCATCGACTACACCAACTGACTGTATCGTATCAATTACCAATACATGATGTAGAACACGGTTAGGCTAGTGAAAGAACGATATATTTAATATGAATAGAAGACATAAGGTGACATTCAGCAGAGACCACGCCTGCATGGCCGAGCCATGCCATTCGATCAACTCTAATTCATTCAATTCATTGTTCGCGCCTTCTCCATCGTTAGATATTTCTCCGCGTTAACTATTGAATATCTATTTTCCGAGCAATCACGTATTCAGCTTTGAAGATTGTGTGGTTATTGTCCAATGCCACTACACTACTCTCCCACTAGAATCAACGTGGTGTTGGTTCGATACCAAGTTGGATGGGATTGTCGCGCGCCGGAGGTTACCAAGAATAGGTAGAATCCTCCGGATATTGATAAGCTGAAAGATAAATCAAAAAGAATGCGGCAGCATCTGGTCGGGAAATACATATAATAGTTATAAAATATCTGCCTTCATGCTTAACACGCTTGAAATGAAAATTTGGGTGATGATTGTTTGAGCTATAAAAAAATGGGGTTACAATAGTAATAATGAAACGATACGTGTTAATAGCCGTTGGTTAATAACTTGACGTATAGGTAATAAGTATTTAGTGTTTAGAAATATTAAAGTAATGAATATTGTAGAAATGTTAATATTGGTATTAGTTTTGGTTTAAATTATGAAATCAATTTACAATTATGCCGGTAACCTGTCCATATGTGATTTCCAATTGCCTCTGTATTAGTAGGCTAACTGAAGGAACAAAGGTATCACCGTGGAGAACAATTCCAACTAGTGTTCCAGTTAGTTTGATACGGTTTATCTAGTTACGAGGACATTTTCTCAACCTCATTTTTACTTGACCGTGATAGAATTTATTAATACTACTAATATACATGAATGGTTATCAAAACAAAATTTAAATACGTGAGTGATAATTATGTAAATTTTGAACAGATAGCTATATTTATCCTTGCCGGCTGATTGGGCATACAAGTTAGTTGCAAGTACGCGGTTTATCATAAAGCGGAATACGATTTAATTGAGATATAGTGGTTATAAGTTATTGAAATCAGTTAAGCCTGTGTCATATTACTAAGTGATGTGGTGCTGCAAGATGTATTTGGCTAAATAAGTTTTTACATGATTAAATAGTGAGTGATGCTCATGTGATTATCAGGGAGAACATAAGTTGTAACCAAGGGGAGTACACTCCCAACTCATGTCTATGATAATTGCTTGAACCTTAGTCAGTGTTGGGGTAAATTCGACATTGATGTTTTCAGTTTGCAGGAGATTTGCTCGACTGCTTATACTGATTATTTGCATGCATGATTGTGTCGCTAAACCATCAATAAGACTGACAAGGTTTTGAGATATTTACTGAATGAGCAACTGAGAGAGAAACATACTGTAATCATCTGTAGTGAATGAAGATAAAAGAAAAACAACACTAGTGATAATTATAAGTCAATTTACTGACCGATTTTGTTAATAGTTTCATTAATTTTATCAATCATATTACGTGATTGTCAAGTCATGACAATGCTTTATGACGATATCCTGAAACTATTACGTTTAACTAGTTATAATGTTGATTGAGGATTAGTCAGTGGAAAAATAGATATTGTTGCTTTAGGTTATTCGAAATTATCAGAAATCTATAACGTTAAAGAATCCGAGAAGCCTAATTTAATTATAAATTTCAATTCAGAAATATTCGTCTAGTGTTAATTCTAGTAGGCTACGGAGTTTTGGTTTTAAACGTTTGTTTAACCAACAGCTACCTGAGGATTTAGTTATTTTACTAGTGCAGTCGATAGTACCTAAATTTTCAATCTTATTATCTAAACTATGTTCGCATTTTAGGCTAATCCATAAACCCAAATACGATTAGCAACAACGACTATGATGGGTTTATTGATAAATGTTAAAGGCGATTCAGATGATTTCTAAATTTAGAAGACATGAAGATATAGTGCAACGTATGTACGGGCCAGGTTAACATGCAGGTTGTTGACGTATATGACAAATTAAAAATAATGAACATGACCAGAAAGATAATTTTAAAGTTAAGACTGCTTATGAAACTTCAGGCAGGAATATGACGCGTTATAAACATTCCATAAGAATTTACTGCATTTAGCCTAGGGACACTTGCAAATATGTGGCAAAAGAAACTGGAAAATATGTACATGTTAAGTACAAAAAATCATTAAGTAAAATAGTTGAACTCGCCTGGATTATTTTTGAAAATTGTATTATTCAGTGGACGACATATATAACGCCATTCGTGAGTAGTAATGATCCAAAAGTTTCCAGAATAAAACATGCAGTATGGCAATTAATTCCAGGGTACTTGAAGCTATTGACGTTTTTGCAACTCGCTCGGATCAGAACAATTGAAAGAATCCAGATAATTGTGTGGTCGCCATTGAACGAGCCATCTAACATGACCTTATTATTGCAGAAAACTTATGGCTGAACCTCAGCGTATGTTTTTGGAGAAGCGTCATCCCTGTCGTTTGGCAATGGAACTCGAAAATTTGAAATTAGGCAGGCAGTGGTCGGAAGAAAGATATTACAGGATAGTGCATAGTTGAAAACGATTGAGAAGGCTAAGGTGGAAATAAGGATTAACAATAATAGGTTGCGTTTCTTCAGTCGGGCTTACCAATGTAGAATTATGGTCTACTATGATATTAGTACTGCTCTAATAACAGACCTAATCCTAAATTTGTAGATTTGTCATGATATAACTCCCTAATCTATAAGATCTTACGTGGAAGTC